CGGCAAGGGTTGTTTCTCCTCGACGAACCTTTGCCCCTTTCTCTCTCTCTCTCTCTCTTTCTTCCACGCGTTCTTTGCATAATTAACTTTCTCGAGGATTCCTCGAAAATGTCCTCGGTTGGCAACACTCGTCGGCGTTTAGTCGCGAGTTCCTCTCTCTCCGACGACAGTCAATTCTCGCGTGGCCGGTGACGAGAGCTGAGGAAACAAAGGGGAGCGAAGCCAGCAGCCGGTTCTGCATAATGAATCCCCGTCCCTCGACCAGTCTCTGTTCCCTTCTCTGATTCGTTCCGTGTAATTAGCCCACTCTCCTCTCTTCTTCTTTCTTCTTTCTTTTTTTTTTTTTTTTTATCGAGTTTTCGTCGACCGAAGACGTTTTGGAGATTTCTTGCTCCGGTACGTATGCATGTACCGAGATTGATTGATCGATGGTAAGTGGATGGGCCTCGAATTGATTGTTGTATTTATTTATCGTGTTTATTAACGCAACTCGGAAATTACACAAGGTGTAATAATATTAATTAATAAATAACAAATGATAATAAAATTTAAATAATAAATAATAAAACTTAAATAATAAATAATAAGTAAAATTTAAATAATAAAAATTAAGGCTTTTAATCTTTTATATAGAACGCTATTTTTCCGTTTGTCATGTGAAAGCAGCGGTCAAGACGAATTCGATTGTATGGTAAATAATGTCCTTTAGAGTTCTAAAAGGAATGGGAGAAATTATTAAGATATTTATAACGAGTCTGGCACGTTCACATTCGTACGTATGCGCAAAAGAACGCGAACACTTTGTATTTTGAAATTCATATATTCATTATTTCATCAGTATGCTAGCGAATACTAAGTAATATAAACTTATTTATAACAATTGTTAATTCCGAAGTGTTGAATTGGAGTGAATTACTTAACGAATTAACACTAGAACTACCGAGGAATAAAGTATAAAAATCGAAGAAATTGGAATGCAAGGAATAGGAAAAAGTTTATAACACGATAATGGACACGAACCTTTATTCTTGTTTTTTTTAAAAGTCATTCCAATTTCTAAAAAAAAAAAAACGCAACATTGTAAGTCCGCAAAATTACTCTAAAAAGTTATAAATTAGTTATTTTGACCACTTTGGTGTTAACAATCTTTCTTTCATAAGCAAACGAAACGTTCGATTGCAGATAGTCGTGACTTCTTTTTTCTTTCATAATTTCGCATTCCTAGCACGAGACGATTATATTACGAATAAACGGTACTTCTGAAAGTTTCTTTTCACAAACACACATAATCGTTTCTGCGACTGAAAGTAGAACAAGCAGAAAATGTTGATATTGAAGAATAACGACAATTTCCTTCTCGTTCTTTGAAGAATTCCACGAAGAATTTTGATAGAAAGTAAAGAGGATAAGAGAAACGGGGATTTTCAACGGCGAAAGCCGTCAGAAAAGTTGCGTAATTCTTGGCAGAACTTAAATCTCCGCCTTTGCGGGAAATTCAGTGGCAGCGACGATGAGGAACGACGACTTCGCAGAGTCGTTCACGTTAATTGTTTCGTTAATTCAGAGATCGTCGCTTAAGGAGACCACACTTCGCCAGAGTGTGGAAAATGGTGCTTACTTCAAGTGGAAAAGTGCTCGTAAACCGGAGGCGGGCATCAACAAAGAATGGTTAATGAAACGTAGAAAAAGATGAGTGCAATTTCTGTATTTAACGTGAAAGAATATCTCGCGTAAATGGTCTTCGCCTTGAGATAAAGGATTTTTAATTTCCCAAAGAACAGTATTTTCACGACGCTTCGTTGTTCTAATATTCTCGCTTTCTCTCAGGCGTGAAAATCAAATTTATAAACATACTCATCTGTTCAGAGAATTTTCAATTTTTAAATATTCGAAGCTTCCGGGATTTTCGAATCTCTAAATTGCTTGCATTTTGAACTGCGTATATCGTTGTTCAAGCATACAAATTCTCGACTTGTTAAAATATCAAAAACTGTAGAATTTTCAAGTTCTCAAGTTCTCAAATTCTCGGCCGTTAAAATTCTCAAACGTACGACGAATTTTCAGCTATTCGAAGATCTTTTCCAAGTGCACCCAACTTTCCTAAACCTCGAACTTTCTAACTTTCGAATCTCCAAGTTCTCGAATGTCGAAATCTTCGAACATACATCTCGGAACAAGAGGATGGCATACTTTATGTATATTATTTCTTATATTATCTATCGTAAAGTAGAGAGAATGCGTAGATCATCACATCAGTATCTTTGAGTGTGGATTGGTCACGTGTATTGTGTCGAATGTTATTACCGAGGCATGCAACTTCTCAGAAATACAAAAACGAAAATGTAAATATTATAATCCATAGTTTTGAGTCAGTCGTACGGGAGCTATCGAAAGTGTAACATTCGTGTGAAATACAATAAGTTAGTTAAGTGCGTATTAACGTTTGTAAAAATGAGCAGCGGAAGAAAGTTCAAATCAGCTGAAATACACGCGATATTGAAATTAAACGAACAACATTATTCTGAGACAAAAATATCCGAAATAATTAACAGAAGTCGTAAAGTGATAGTGAATTTACTACAAGATCCCGATAATTATGGAGAAAGAAAAAGTTATGGACGATTGCAGTGTCTAACAACTCAGGTTATAACGTGCTATATCACGTACATCGTACAAATTCGAGCTTGACCGCGAGACAAATGGCAGAAAAAGCCAGAGTTACGACAAATGTTAGGAATGTTCGATGTCTTTTAAAGAATTGTGAACATCTGCAACGACGAAAATTGCAGCAAAAACTTTGGTTAAAGCAAGAGCATCAGCTGTGCCGTTTGCAATTTGCAGAGAAATATGTTTGTACGAATAAGAAATGGCGAAGAATCACATTTACCAGTAAAAAGAGGTTCGATTTAGACCTGATGGTCTCCACTGCTATTATTATGATTTACGAAAGAAGCAACAACTTTCGAGTCATCGATCCATGGGATGCGACGGTATAATGATTTGGGGAGATATTGGTTACTAAGGTAAGATGAAAACAAAATTTAGTGCGGGAAAATTAAATAGTAAAAAGTACATTGAAACGATTGACGAACAAATTGACACGTATGCGATACCAATTGCCAGAAATAATTACATTTTTCAACGTGTACACCGCGAAAACAGTAAATCAATAGTTTGCGAACAAAGAAATTCGTATTTTAGGATAACCAGTTGAAGCTTCTGACTTAAATATTATAGAAAATTAATTGGAGGGATTTGACGAGGGCCGTATACTAGAATGGAAGAAAATTCGCAAATATTAATAAATTTAAAAAATATATTGTGGAGGAATTAAGTCAAAATCATTAAAAAAATGATACAAATCTTTGCTTCAAGGAGTAGGTGTCGTTATTAAATGCAAAGAAGGTCGTACTAAGTATCAAACAATTATTAAACTCGTTTCTTTTGTTTCTACCTACTGTTTTACACGAAACGTGCCATCATTTTAATCCGCTGAATATTACCATATTTCTATTCCTTTTTAATAACACAAAATATATTAAAAAGTTTAATTTATGTTACTTATACATGTCGATAGAAGCACTGCCAAAGAATGTATATAAAAAAGATTTTATACCATTTGTATAATGAGACGAAATTTAATAATTTTTGGGGTGTGCTACCTTTTTGTCCCGGGGTGTGTAATTCGTAATTCAGCTGCTCGTTTTTAATTGAAAAATTGCCTCCAGATTTCAACGAGGAGAGCAAAATACTGCCTCTCGTCGGCCATTCACGCTTCGTTAATGATCAACAAGTTAATTAAACATGTCATGTTAACAACTGGCGGAAACGATGCTGCGCCGATGAATTTTCTGCTGTGTCGTGTTCCCTTGAAACTATGGCAACGTGTTCCTTTATATGCAACAGAGTCGTATGTATTGTATTCTGTGCAATGTTTGGCAACGGTATGGCACACAACACGCTCTACACAACACGCTCTATCTTACTCGGTACTCTAACTCGCAACTATCAATCTCATTCCACCTCATATGCAAAATCCTCGTAGCAGCATGCGTTTTAATTAGGTTGCTCGTGACTGTTGCTATAAAATGTTTTCAGCCGGTGGTGTCATTGCTACCAATTAACCACTGTAATTGCGTTACAAAATATGCGAACGTGTGTTGCACGTGTCGTTTAAGAGACTTGTTTCAACAAAGTCACGGAGGTTGTGGATTTTCATGCGAAACCTGAGTCGCGATGAAAAATTATTTCGTGTACCAAACGTTAACGGAAATTGCATTGCATTCCGTTTAAAATTTTTCTACAAATGCAATGATAAGGGAAAGATTGACGCTGGAACCGTCAGAGATTTGCACGAAAGTGCAAGGAATGTAAAAAGATTTCTGGTACAATGAAAAACTCGAGTTTCAATTTTCATTTGTATATGTCACTTATATATATATATACTTTGTAGATTTACAATATGCTACGTTTGAATAATTTTTCGTGAAATATATATATATAATGAAATATATAAATATAAATATAAATATAAATATAGATAGATATATATATATATACATATAAATATATTTCTCGAAAAATTATTCAAACGTAGTATATTGTAAATCTACAAAGTCCCCGCGAGAGATTAGAAATCGCGATCTAAAAATGCGTTAACCTGTGTGCAAAATTCTCACAAATCCCCCCCCCCCCCCAAAATCGCCCCACTCAAACATCTCTCAAACCACGCGTCATTTCACACCCATGTGCATTAGTCTACGGTGCCAGATCCTAAACTGGTAGAAACTCCAGAAGAAAAAAGAGGAGGAAGAAAAACTATGATCAGTGATTGTCAGAGAGAAGCGAAGAGGCGTAAGACACAGAATCATGCGTGGAAAACCTGGAGAAGATTCGCGACGAACCTTGAACTATTCTCGACTGACAATGTGTCATCGTATCTTAGAGAGAAGTGGGGAAGGTGGGGGTGGAGGAGACGATGGACCGCTGGAGCGATTTACCTCTTTTACCTGGGCTGACTTTGAACGGGGATCGGCGACCTGGACGGTCTCGTCGGGAGGCAGCCGCCAGGAGTTCCTCTCGATGTTGACGCTGGCGTTCATAGCGGCCTCCTCCTCCGCCTCCCGTGTCCTTCGTCGTTCTTAACAGCTTCGTCCTTGCGCAAGCACTTCCCCGAGGTCCCCAGGGTAACCCCCGGGCCACTCCTGGGGCCGAGGTCTCACACCAGCAATCCACAGTTCCTCACCTGAAACGAGATTAACGAAATTGGCTGAATCTGTCGGCCGGAGCGAGTTACGAGTTGAGTGACTTGCGTTCGAAGTTGACTGATCGGCGCGGGGGATTTTAGTTAACGCTCTTCGGTTAATCGAATTTCCCATCCGTTGAATCGATTTATCCAAATGTCGGTTGCCAAATGTTGTGCAAGCGGCAAGTAATTGTATTGTGAATTAAGTTAAATTTCTCTTATAATAATATTATATATATATATAAAATATTATATAATTATAAATAAAATATATATATATATAAAACATATAACAATTTAATTTTTTTTTAATAAGGATAAGGATAAATATATATATATATATATATTTAATATTATATAATACTATTTAATATATAATTAATTTAATATTATAATTTTAATAATATTAATTAATATTATATAATATTATATATATTTAATATTATATAATTATAAATAAAATATATATATAAAACATATAAAAAATTTAAATTAGCTTTGTAAAACATTAAATAAAAATTTAATTTAGCTTTGTAAAACTTTGAGCGTTTAACCACTTGCGCTTGGCAACTGGATTGCGGACCGTAACGAGTGACCAAACCATATACAATAATTTCGTCGCTTCCTTTTTCAACTCGTCGGTATGATGTCACTAGATAGAAATTATTGAGAAATAATAAGTTTATTATTTGTTTCACTTAAATATACTCAAAACTGGGAAAATATTACAATTTTGGGACAAAAAGTTCTCGAGATGCGTGGCACGTCATTCCAGCGCAAGAGGTTAAAATAAATTGAACGTCTAAATGTTTAATGAAAAGAATATATCGAACTAAGACATACATTCATCTTTTAATAAGATTTATTCAATCCATTGTATTGTACTTTTTGAATCTTTAATAGGTAAATTCGTTGTTTTGTTGGTTGTTATTAATATTCTGATATAGACTAAACATTCAAAGGATTAATGGACGAAATATGATAAAGTTATTGAAACTTATTGAAACGAAATTCTAGTCGATTCCTGAATTAATTGTACATTCACCGATTGAATTTATTTAAACGCATGCCAGTTTCGTTTTTAACAAAAACTAGTGAAGTCGATTTATTCCGAAGTTAACTTATTTGGAACGAAAATTTTAGTCGGTGCTCGATTAATCGAACTTCTCTGGACCACAGTTCATATTACGCGAACGAAAAATAATGGAAAATTATTCGATCCTCGATAATGAAATTTTACTGTAGAAGTTGTCTTATGTAACAGATTTTTCTTCGTTAACTAGCCGCCATTATTACTCATCAGTAAGTTCTTGAAACTGACTTTGTTGAGCAACCTCCTAACGTTACGTTCATTTCCATTTATAATTATTAGGATAGTTACAGAGAGTGAAACGAACCTCAGAAATAATCAGAAAATCGTTGGGGCTTTAATAACGCAAACCTTGAATTATAGGATCTTCAAATAAATGAGGAAACTATATTCTTAATGTCGTTATCGAAATCTCATCTTTATATCTGCCTAGGAATGTGAAACTTTTCCTGTGTTACTTCGATTGTTATTTTAATGAATTCCGATAGTCGTAATCGAATTTCCATTCGTGTTGAAGTTAAATTCGCAATTTTGTTCTCACAAAATTATTGTTTTACGAAATTTGATTTTTAATGAAATTTAATGAGAGAATCATGGAAGATCAACATCGACAACTAATTTAACAATTTGCATTTGTTGTATAACAAAATTTAACTTTTGTACCATTTAAAATTTGAATTTTATCAAAATTTTTTTATAAATTTCTAGTTTAGCAGCTTTTCCCAATTTTAGTTTGTTTCGCCACAGATTTTTTGAAAAGCTTCAGTTCGCTTTTAAAATGTAACATCAGTCGAAGGAAGTCGAAAAAGTTATATAGTTCTCGTACTTTTTTGAACGTTGTATTAAAATTTTAAAAAACGTTGTACTAGACATTTCATTGTATCAGGCGAAATGAAATCAAATACGACATAATTTACATAAACGTTCGATAATAGCTGTGCTTGTACCTCGCGAATGTTCGTTTACGTCAATAATTTTCTCGACCTCGACTGATTTCTTGCTTTGCCGATAAAACCTAACCTAAACCTTCTCATTAGAGAAGGGGTAGCAAAATAGAAAATTTACTAAGCTAGAAATTTATCGCGACGATTAATCATCAAGACATTCGCAATTTCCTTCTCCTTTGAATCCCAACGTATTAATTGATCTCATTTCGTTCTTTATAAATCCACTCTTGCAAATTCCGCAAATACTCGATACTCGATTTCACAACCAGGATAAGACCAACTTCGTTCCGTCGCGTCTTCATCCTTGTTCCCGCTCTTCTTTTCTCCCTACTATTTTCTCCGTTCACTTCGCAAAAAAAGTATCAAACAAGATTACAAAAGGAAAGATAACAAAGCCTCTGTTCTGCATTTCGCCGCGGGTTCTGCTCGAACGAGGCAAACGAACCGATCCAGTTTCACCTGGTTAGGAAGTAATCGAAGAAAGACAGAGGGGAACAGCTTTCGGGTGGGAGGAAGCCGAGGCAAGGCGAAGCGGAACTGGATGGAAGAATAACAGGGAAACTAAGGCTGAAAATTGAATCGAACCGCAAGTCAAACACGGAGGTAAATGGCTAGAGTCGAAGCTACTTCGAGGCAAGGCCACGTTTGTTCGGATTCCACAGATTGGACGAACAGCACAAGTCGTTTTCACGGCGATTAATATCGATTTTTGATTAGAGCCGCAGTCGGCGAAGAAAAAAAAAAAAAAGGTTAAGGACGATTCTCGTGAAATGTCATGGTAATTTGCGTGGGACGCTTCATCGGCTTTCCTTGCCTCGTCGTCTCCTTGGCTCGTTAGACATGCCCGATTTTTATTCTCGCCCGATGGATCACGCCGATTATTTATAGCGTCATTTCATTGACAATCCTCGCCAACTTTCATTCTACTCGAATTTGAGGAGTTGGCTGACGCGCATCATTGATACGCGACAAATGATACGCGTGTTTTGTTCAGTAGAGGGAAATGTTTCAGGAAATTATTGGCAGTCCCATGGGCTAATACATTTATTCATAATTTGAATAAATTTGTTATATATTAATGAATTTAATAGATACATTGTATATTTATTAAATTTGAATTTATTACATACTCTTGTAATTATAAATTATAATACACTTTGTGAAATTCATTTTTGTTATTCGTTAATTTTATAATGACAAAATGATTATAAAAGGTATATACAAATTTGAAGGCACAAAAATATTCAGAGTGTAGTATAAAATTGTACTCATCGTGACACTTACAAATTTTCCAATTATATATTCGCGAAAGTGTTAAAATTATTCTACTAATCTTAGTTAAAATCGAACAAATGAATTCTAAAGTCCTGAAGGCTTTTTCAGTCAATAGATTCTTTAAGTTTCTGGAAAATATGAACGGGACGATGGACAGGGACAAAGGATAATTACGAATTCTCTAGGGAATTAAGCCGGAATAAAGGATTACATCGCTCAGCCTGTCCCATCGTTCCCTATGAATAATTTAATAAAGCTCGAAATTTTCTCGGCCGGAACGCGCACAGCCGGCCATTAGTTTATTTTCGATTTAAATTTTAAATCACGAGCCGTGCGCATTTCTAAAAGAAGAAAACATATTACGAAACAATTAACCATACATGCGATGTAATTAAATAATTAATTGGTATCTCCATTCGAAAATATACGAACAATCCTCGGCTTTTATAATAATTTTAAAATACATGCAAGATGTGTTTTAGCTGGAAAATAATACGCAAATCGAACAGCGATAATCAAATTAATTTTTAAATGCTGGTAAACGCATAGAAATAGGAAGACTTTGTAATTAAAACCTATTAAAACTTTGTAGAATTATTTTAATTTTACATTTCTTAATTTCACAGTTTATTCAAAGATAGAGGGATTTCTCATTTCAATGTTAAACGTTACACAGTTGTAACAGTTGTGTCCTAATCTTCCCAAATTAATAAACGCTCCAATAATGTTAATCTTTCTTCGAATCAATCTTCCTCACAATCAAAATTCCACTTCATTATGAATCGATCGAAAAATTCAGATAAATGCAAACGATGGTATTCGTACATTTGAACCTCAACCGCATCTTCATCGAAACGCGCTCACGAGGGTTTAATGTTCCATCATTTTCAAATCCTCGGCGTTTAGACGCTCTCGTTTAAGTACTCGTCGACCCTTCAACGAAGCACCAGCGAAATTTTCGAGATCCTTTTACAGTTACGACCGAAGTGCATACCACGGTTAATCTAACGTCGTCATCGAGACGCGGATCGCGCGCGGATCCTTGAAAACTTGGAAGCATCCTTCGGCGGTTGAGCCGGTGGTGGCTGGCAGAAATTTTGAGAAGAACTTTCGGGAATATTCATTGTCGGCCAAGGTTACTTTAAACGAATTTGAACTTACGGGGCCTGTGGGACACGGGAGTATGCTTCGAGAGGCTCGATACTTGTTACTCGTATCGACGTCAAGCAGGATTAGATGCTCCCCAAGGCATTGGACTTTGCCTCGAAGATATTTCACAGACTGATGGAGTTGCTGCGAGAACTGTCTTTAGTGATTTCAGGGTTCGCCAAACACCGTTTTCTACGGTGAAAGTGAAGTTTTATTGGAGAATCCTTCGCCATTAAATAATAGAATTCGTAGAGTCCGATTTCTAAATTGTACAGCTGCAAAGTTGCAGGAACTAAACATTTAATATTTCCCGCGTCGTACGTATTGTTTATACTGGTTTTCATTCAAAGAGTAGGATTTTCAATTCCGTTGAAATATTTTTGACTTTCAAATGACAAGAGCGAGACTTCGTATGTGTCAGAGTGCGAATTCGCTATGGATCCTTGATTGCTAAATTGTAGACTGCGGTAGCCTTGACCTTCAAATTGCACAACACACGTGCGGATGACGTTCAAACTGCGGAAGCTACGTTCGTAGAA